TTTTTTTAGGAGGAAGAACTTCAAGTGAACTACATATCTGTTATCACAGAGTATATATTACAATTGAAATGTTCTGACCCAGAGAAACTTGGTAGAGTATTATAATAGTTGCCCTCAAATGAATAAAGAGTTTTAAATTTTTTAAATCATTCTTTAGCTTTTTTCTCCAGCTCTCAAAAAGATTAATTTCATTAGTTGAGACAGCTGTCTTTGTACCCAAGAAGGGGTTCTTACTTTAAATAAATATTTTAGACATGACAATTTTTCCTCCAGGCTAAAAATAAGACTTCAGTTTGTAGATTTGATGACTGTGTTACTTCAATGCCTCTGATCCTTTGCTTCATCCTTCAGCCTGGCACCTTAATACTGAATATGGTATCTTTAATACTAGCTTTTTATCCTTGTAAAAAAATCCTTTCAAAGGGGCTAGGTTGTTTTTTTTAAATCAGACTGATATTACTCATACTACTTTTAAACAAAATTACCAAATTTAATTGTTTTTTTTACCAATGGAATTCACTTATTTTGTGTTATCAGTTTTAGATTAACCAAAACTAACTATAGTAAATGGATTGTGTTTTAAATTTCATGACTGTGAATTGATGGAAATAAGAACTTTTAAACAAGGGATAGGAATAAAGTTAGGGTCTCCATGTGTGATTTCATTGATAGAAATTCATTACTAGGAACCTCTATCAATGCATGGTGGCTTTTTCTATTCAAATTATAATATTAGAGTTTGCTAGAGCACTACTGAAAGGATTAAATGACTTGACCAGGGTCACACAGCCAGTATGTATTGGATGCTGGAATTCAAAGTGAAGTCTTTCTGACTTCACAGCCATATACCTATGTACTACTTAGTGCTGCTTTTTGGATAGAAGAATTAGAATGCCTGAGAACTGTGAAGAAACATATAATTTATCTTTTAGGAGAAAGGTATAATGGAAACTGAAAATTTGCATTCCCTTCAAGTTTAACTTATATATGTAAGAAAATATTTTTACCCTCCAGGAAGTTTTATGCTAGTTTCACATTTTATATTCTTTTGCAGTTTAAGGTTTTCCATTTTAAAAGTACAATTTAAATGGCAGTTATCTATTTTCATTTGATGGTATTATTTGTTACAGACCAGCTAAAACTGAAATTTTTTTTTATTATTAATAGCATTAATTTAGCTCTTTTAAAGTTTGCAAAGTCCTTTACATTCATTATCTCGATTCTCACATCAGCTCTCTAATTGCCACTCGTATTGCTATATGAAACTTTAAAAACTGGTAACTGTTAAATGCTCTGGAATAAAAAGCAGTGTCTTTCTTTTCTGGAAGAAGAAACTATGTGGCATGTATATCATAGTAGGATATAAGGAAGCATTTTGTAATGCTTGAAAAGATACATTTTATATACTATCATATAGGTATCCTTTAGGTCATGATTATGGACTAATTCAGGATTACTTTAGACTTAAGTTACAATTTTATTGGTGCTTTTTTGGTAATCGTTTTGAAAATGTTATATATTTATTTAAATAAATCATCTTTCTCTTGATTTTTCATAAATGTTTGTTCCTGTAGCTATGTTATAGTTTTGTTGTCATGTAGCATATTCTTTTAGTTATCTACTTCGACTTCCTAGAGTTCACTTCAGAAAAAAAGAAAAATTATTCATTCAACAAATAAGCTTCTGTTAAAGTCCAGACATACTTCTGGTAACTGAGTGCTATAGAAATTAATAAGATACTGTCCTTGTCCTTAAATAATTTAATCTAATAGACTACTAGATAGGTGTTGATTAATGTCATTACTAATCTTAAAACTGGAAACTCTTTGAAAAAGCACTTGAATCAGTCTGCAATGTTTTATTTTATCCCTGTATTGCTACCATTGTTTTTATTAATGGTCATACTTGGCATTACTTACATCTAAGTGTCTTACTCTAATAATCTGCAAGCTGAAAACTGAAATTCAGTGTTCCAATTATCTATGAGTATGTTTTTGCCAAATGATGAGGGTGACCATTAATCAGGTGTCAGGTTATGTCATGTAGCAAATTCATAACTGTTCCAAAAGAGATAATGTCTTTTAGTTCAAAGACAGTTTTCTACACAGCAGTAGCTGAAGATGCGGTTATCTCTTTTACTGTGAAAAAATCCAGTGATAGTTCATGGTCAGACTAGTATAATAACTCATTTTGGAAGTGGAAAAAACTGATCTTGAATCCAAAAATGAAGGGGAAGAAGTTTAGCCAAGAAAAAATAAACAGGGAGCAATTGTATAACCATTCTTGTCCATTGTTAACTACTCCTCAGTTTATTCATTTATGACATAATTTTTAGAACTAACTTTGTAATTCACTTTGTAAATTGACAGGTGTCAGGTTGCCACCGACAGTTGTTTGCAAACAGGATGATAATATGTGACAGCCCAAATGACTAATTTCTTTTGATTCCAGTGTACTGTTTTAACAACACAAAATAGTAACTCATGCTGGAAAATGCATAATCAGTAAATAGCTTCTGAATGTTCTCTCCTTAGTTATCAACTGTTCTATTCACACTAAAATGGATGGATTATTTCTAGTAAAAGCACTATAAATGAATGCCCTTTTGAAAATTTCATATACTTTATCTTTTAAGGCAAATGATGTAATTTTAAAGGATTTCTTCTTTTGTCTTCTTTGGCAGTGTATCATTTTAAATGTGTCAATGTACCTTCATTTTCCTTTTCTTTCTAAATAATATTTAACACTTCTTTGTAAGGTTGGTTTCACTTTATTTGTATTCCCATGCCTGACTCATAGTAGGTGCTTAATTTATGTGTCTTGATTGCTGTTTGATCCTCAGCAAGTTTACTTAACTTCTGTATGCTTCAGTTTCTTCAGTTGTAAAATGGGGAAAATAGCACCTACCTGCCAGGATTGTTGTGAGGATCAAATGAGATAATAGTTGTAAAGTGGTTAGCACCATGCCTGGCACATAGTACATGCTTAATGAATTCTTATTCCCTTCCCCTCCCTTTTCTCTGTCAACTTACATCATCTTTAGGTTTTGGTTTATTAATTTGTATTGGTATGCATTTAAAACCAATTTTTAAATTCATAATTTATTATTTACGGCAGAAGCTAAAAATATTTGATTGTCTCAGTCAATCTTGTATTTAAGCATGTTTTCATTAATTATAATGATTTCTTAGTCTAAACATATGTTGTGTGATCTCTTATACTTCAAGCAAATATGTCATAAATCATTTCAGAATATGTGATATGGAATTACCAAATCAAATGTTTTTTTGGGGAAAAAAACCTTTTTTATGTCAGCAAAAGAGATTTTCAGGAACAAATAAACATTCATTGTTGGTAGACCTTTCTACATGATGAAAATAGTTGTTTCATTGCTCCTACCTCCCTAGCTGTAGATATGTAAGTATACCTGAGAATTGTGCAAATAAAAGCCTTATGCTAAAGTCAAGTAGAACTGCTATATTTGTGCAGCCATTAATTTACCTTTATGAAGAACTGCATGATAGAATGTTGGCCTTTATGTTTTCTCCTAGTTATTTTCAACTGTTTGCCATTATAGGTGTGTTTATATACTTTTTTACTTTGGTATTACAGAAGAAAAAACCAAACTGGTTTTAACATAATTGTATTTTGCATTTTTAATAAACTAAAAGGTGATTTTGTTGGCTCATTGTGGAAGCAGAATGTATTTTTTGAATAAATAATTCATTCAGCTTGGGTAAAATCATTTTTTGACCTGAACTGTAGAGATACTTTTCTATTTTTCACAGAAAGGACCTTGGTAATCTTCCTAATGAACTACCAAAATAACAGCCTAAAAACTTATGTTATGTCAAAGGAAAAAAAAATGCTCTACTCTGTAGATGTCCAAAGCAGCCTATCCCTCTCCTCATGCCCTTAGACATTTATCTCCTCAAGATAATTTGAAGTAACATTTGTAGGAATCTTAAACAAGGAAGATCATAATGTGATAAAATACAGAATTGGTTTAACATTCTGCAGTAGTCACTACTCAATCCTTGACCTCCCCCCCTCAGGAACTGAGAAGGCTTTCTTCCTGTAATCAGTATCTTAACACTGAATGCAAAAGAGGATTCTCCCTCTCCCCCTACTTATGTCTCAGTGCCAGTCACTTTCTGGAGTGGAAAAGCAATGATCTTACTTAGAGAAGATAAGTTTACCACCTTTGATCCATTTCCTGGCACCTTATACTTTGTTCTATTTACTTCCCTAAAAGAAAAAGTCTGGAAATGGTTTTAGGGTGGAGAAAATAATTGTTTCTTTTTATTTTCAGTAAAACTAAAGGGAGGTTTTTAATATGCTTCCTCAACAATTTTACAGTATGACCATATTAAAAAGTTATGTCTCACTTTCTGATATATAGATATAGATATTCTTGTATTTTAGATAGCCCCGTTGTTGTCAGTTCAATATGCATTCTTATGTACATTATAGTTATGTTTTTAAGAGCATTTTTCCGTCTCTATGAAATAACACAATGGCTACTCTTTGAATGGTTTTCATTATTAAATGATTACTTATTTTGAGGCCTATGCCATCCTTCATAAAAGTCATATTTTTATATTGATTACTTGACAATGAATGGTTGAAATATGCTTTTGCATCATAATTAATTACACATTTATCAAGCACCTACTGTGTTCTATCCCTGTGTTTGCTGCTAAATTTCTTATTATGTATGTTAATAATAGCAATAGCTTTGTATAGGCATGATACTTTACAAAGCACTCTGCTCACCACAATCCTGTGAAATAGGTCATAAACAGTATTATTCCTATTTTACAAATGAAGTTCCTGCAGTACATAAAGGCACAGTGACTTGACCAACATCATATGCCAGCTAGAGGCAGAGCTTAGATGGGGAACCCTGGGCACTTTCCATTGCCTCATATTTCTGTATTGTATAATGTTTTAATATTGTGAAATTAACAGTAAATAATGAACATGTTTTTCTGTTTCAGTTTATTGATGGTCGACTGGAAAAACTAAATGCAGGAAGAGGGTTTTCTGATGTATTTGAAGAAGAGATCACTTCAGGTGGCTTCTGTGGAGGTATAGACCAAATTAGAACAATTAACTATTTACTTAAATTATTTTATTTTTAAATGTTAACTTCTTAAAACTATTTCACAATTACTTAATGACACTAGTATTCTGAAAAGAGTATTATTTTATTTCAGCTGGTGTCTAGATTCTGTGATTTTATTAACTGTATGACAGAGCACTTAATTTTACTTCTATAAACCTTGGTTTCTGCAAATATTATATAAGAAAGAGTTATCTTGATGATTTCTATGATCCCTTTCAGCTCTAAGTTCCATGTTCTATCATCTGTTTCTTCCCAAAATATTTATTTAATTTAATTTATAATGAACTTAATTTTATGAAAAAAAGTTCTGTTAATTAACAAAATCTGTACATAATAACAATGTACAGGGCAGCTAGGTAGTGCAGTGGAGAGAGTGCTAGGCCTGGAGTCAAGAAGACTCTTCTTTGTGAGTTCAAATCTGGCCTTAGACACTTACTAGCTGTGTGACCCTGGCAAGTCATTTAATCCTGTTTGCCTCAGTTTCCTCATTAGTAAAATGAGCTGGAGAAGGAAATGGCAAACCACTGTTTGCCAAGAAAACCCCAAATGAGGTTATGAAGAGTGGGACACAACTGAAATGACTGAATAACAACAGCAATTTTATATGTCTTCTTTAATCCAGGAGTTTAGGGATTACCTATCATAAACTAGCAGTGACTCAAAGGATCCTATTTTAGCCAGTATCATATCAGTCTTCAGGGTTTTGTTTTGTTTTTTTTAATGATTTTCAGAATGTTATAGCAGGTTATAGAAGATTTATTAAGCTATACATAATAAAATACTGTTCCTTGCTCTTTTGAAAGAATTGCAGCCACAATTTAATAGAAAGTTGAATATTATCTTTGATGAGATTATATATGTAAATAGTTTAATCATCTTGAGGTAAAATGTACCACATAAATACAAGTTTCAGGATGTAATAATCACATACTTGCACAAAACTTTGTTTTCTTTATTCCCTCAGGATATTCTCTGGGCCATGAAAATGTTGTTGAAATAATGTGACCACTCAGATGGATTTGGCAAATTAATTTAAATCTTAAATGACTTTTCCCCATTACAATTAGGATATTATATTGGCAACATCGAACTTAGAGGGCAAAGTTAGTTTCCTTGACTCAGCAGTGATGAATGTAGTATCATCTTGCCTGTCTAGGCTCATGAGTAAAGATTTAGCTTCAATGGAAATTGTGTGTTAAAATGTGGCTTTTTTACTTTTCAACTCAGACAAGCTGAATATTGTCAGCTTGTGGACAAATTGCTGAAGGCATATATTCAGTATTTACATAACTGCTGTCTCATTATCGTTATGACCCGTGGGGCTAGCAGAGTGTGTGGAATTGAAAATGACATCTTGTGACAGTAATAGGGTAGAACTATGATCCTTTTTATAGTTTAATCCTGTCGATTTTATCGTTGGTCCACAGTCCTCTGTAATAGATGCTTTCACAGCGGTCACCGAAACTTTTAAATAAAATTACTATTGTTGAAAAATTAAAGTATTAACTAACATATGAATTGGGTAAATGGGTGTTTTAAGTGTAATCCAATCGAAAAGAATCTGTTTTTCTTTCTAAAAGAGAAAATAATTTTGGGACTTTTATTCAGATTCAGAAAAAAGGAAAATCTGTTCAGCAAGAAATTATTTAAGTGTGTGGGACAAAACATTTTAAATATCATGCCTAAATAATGTCTCCTCTTAAAAAGAGTCAAAACAAATTTAATTGCTATTAGAAATTTTTTTAAACCAAACAATTCAGATAATGAATTCGAGCTTCCTAGACCAATTTAATCTACAAAAATTTGAAAACAAGGGTGCTTTTTTGAGAATCCTTACTTGTAGTTCCAGAAAGTTCAAGTTTGAAAACTCTATTGGCTCTCTTATAAGAAAGAGACTATCTTCATTTAGATAAGTAAAGAGGTGATTAGAGCATTAAGCATAATAGACTTGGACAGCAGTTGATTTTATAAATTTCAGTCATTGTTTAAATGGCCATGTTAGACATGGTAGAGGTTGGTATTACAGCTCATATGCTATAAGGGAGTTAAACTTGTCTTTATGTTGACTTTTCCAAGATAAACCATTCATTTAGGAAACAAGGGAAGTAGTAGTTGGGTATCAGACAATATTCTCTGATTTCTTAGGATATTATATCTAAATTTTAAAATTCAAGCAAATTGTTTCTGGGGATACTAGTACTAGGGATATAAATATTCACTAAATGTAAAGAAATAATTAGTTTCTACTAAAGAAATTTTAGAAAATACTACAGAAGCAGCTATTTTTCCTTTTCATTACCTTTGAATATACATTCTTTCATTATTCTTCATTTAAATGCTCATTTGTCTACCAAAATGCAAATAAAAATAAAATGTAAATAAGTCTTGCTATTATGATTCTGATTGTTTTAATTCACTATTTAATATGACTGGGGAGAAGAGAACTAGATTCATGCTTAAATATAGAACTACAAAGGCAAAAGCCTCTCTTAGCAAATGTAGGGCTTCTCCTCAATTTAAAAATTGATTATTGGCCTTCTTCTTTATAAGCACTTGTCAAGTCCGCTATACACCTCTGTGTCTGATCTGGCCTTAGTTATAAATATCCTGGAGGAAAAACAACTTGGTCATATGTTAATCTCCCTCATGACTCCCAGTGTGGTGTCATATACAAGTGTAGTTTAAGATATTTATTGAATGGATTTTAGGAATGTATGAATTAAAGAACTCTTGAAAAGTAGAGATGATCAAAATTATCTCAGAGAGAAAATAATAGAATGAGGCCTCATTAGAAAGTTGGGAGTGATAAAAAAGACAGTACAGAGACCAAAGTGAAAAAACAGTGTGGCTATATAAAAGATTTGACAATACATATCACATTCAGAAAAAGTAATTGTCATATTGTACAATTGGGAACGTGTATTTTTTTCACTTAAAATTAACATTAACAGTCTTACTCTTATATCTAAGTATATTATTAGTTCTTAACTTTAGAATAAAGATATATTTTCAGTTAAATTTCATATACATTTACCTGGTTCCAGATTTCTCCATATGACATGTGATTTTTTTTCTCATTATTTTGTTTAGACTGGTGGATTTTTTTTCACATTTCATTTATTAACTAATGTGCCAAAATTTGAAGGAATGTAAGCTAATCTTAATGTTTCAATGGAATATTACTAGGCTCAAAGCTAATCTTAATGTTTCAATGGCATGTTGCTAGGCTCAAAGAACATTTACTAGTACAACTCTCATGAAATTTTTGTAAGTCATGGTTTAGGCAGACACAATTCAAGAGAAATTTATCTTTTCCTTAAACGAGAGCCAAAGATATTTTGTCCTTGAATGTGAGTACCATTTTTTGTTAAGATAAACAATGTTAAAAATGTCTACCTAATAACCTTAACAGTGTTTATAATTTTCATAATAATAAATTGTAATTATCTTAAAATAAGGATTTTGGAAGTGTTTTATTTATGCTGAAAATTATAACAATGTGTAAATGTATTAATAAATACTGTAATGCTTTTTTAAAATCTGGTTTTATCGGTAAAGAAAGTCGCTTGTAGCTGCAGACTGCTCTTAATACTAGCTACTATTAGCTAGTAGCTGTCTCTTGTCAAAATGTTAACTGAGTGGCTGGCCGTTTTTATCCCTTCCCTTTGTAATACTTTTAGAAAAGACATGTAAGAGAAACTAGATTATGAAGCCTATTGATATCTGTAACCTTAATTTGTATATAACTTTAAGTCACAGGATGTTTAGCATTCTAAGTTATCACATAGTTACCATCAACAAGCATGTACTTGTGCTTGGTAACAGCTATTTTCTCATTAATACTAAGTGCTACATGTTCATTTTAAAAGCCTTCTTTATTTAGTTTTCAAATGAATATTGTTTCTTTTTTTTCTTTCTGACACAAACTTTGGAAAGAAATATTACAGCTATACGTTTTCATTTATGTGAGGTTCATAATAAGTGGTACTGAAAGAAAGCAAAACTTTTGACCATTGCTTGAATGGAACAAAAAAATATTCTGAAATTGTTAAAAAATTATAGAATTTATTTCTATACCTCAGGGCAGGGATGGGGAACTAGGAAAACTGGGTGGAAATTGTAAAGGGGAAAATTTAGGATTCATGTCAGAAAAAAATGTATCTTAACAATCAGAGTTTTCTAAGAGTGGAATCTTAAATAGGATGTTACTTTTTAATTTATTTATTGGTAATAGATGCAATTTGAGCTATATCATGATAACACATGATAGAAAACCATCAAATAGATAGATTCTGACTAGATATAGTCTAGACATGTGGCCCTCTAGATCCTCAAGTGCAGCCCTTTGACTGAATCCAAACTTCACAGAACAAATCACCTTAATAAAAGGATTTGTTCTGTAAAACTTGGACTCAGTCAAAAGGCAACACCCAAGGACCTAGAAGGCCATATGTGGCCTCCAGGCCCACAGGTTCCCCACCCCTGACCCAGGGTATTCCATTACTACTTTCATGATACTCTAGATTAATAGAATTTGCCCATTAAAATTCTAGAAATTATGCTCTGTGATTGCTTGCATCTAGAATTTGTGGTAAAATATAATTGATGGTTTCTCCTTTTTATATTCCAGGAAACTCAAGATCTTATCAGCAATGGATGCACACAGTCAAGGTAATATATATTTACATTTTAAAATGTTTGTGGTATGTTTACAAGAAAATTAGGGATAATAAGTTCCATATATCTATGCAATTTGAAATATATAATTTCCTTTCTTTCAGAAGGATTATTTTGCAAATCAATCACTTGATCATATCTTTTGTTTCCTAATATTTATACAGATAATTTAAAATTAAGGTTTTTTTATACACAGAATAAATGCATTTTGAAAAACATATTATGTCTCTCAGTTTGGCCAAGGAATTCTCTAACTTTGTGACGCTGCATAATCTCATAAGTGTGAGTTATATGTGACAGTGAGATTTAATGGGAATTTTATCACTGCTGGCAAGCTGGTAAATGTTTTTTTGGAATTTTATCACTGCTGGCAAGCTGGTAAATGTTTTTTATAATAGTTTTCCACTAACTTAATAATGGTAGTGTTTATTTCTAGTAAATATTTAAAATATAATAAACAGCTCATTATGCTGCTTAAGTCTATGCTGATATATATGTATCATCTGTGCTGAGATATATATATATATATGTGTGTGTGTATATATATATATCATCTCATTTATAAATGAAATATAATTATAAGTTATTTATATTTCAGGTGTATGATTATTCACTATTTCATGGTCTATTTGCATTTTTAATTATGACATCTAAATCTGATTTTTTTATATGATGGGGTTTTGTTGTTGTTGTTGTTGTTGTTGTTACAGAAGGGAAGTGCGTTATTTAATACAGCAGTGACCAAAGCAACCCCTGCCGTACGGACAGCATATAAATTTGTAAGCTCTTTTCATTTCTTAAATTAAAGAAATTAATTGGTAAGTAAAAGACTGGTGGGAAAAAAAAAGCTTTTTCCAAATCAGTATTTTAAATATATTTTTACATTAACTAATAAGCAACTTAACTCTTTACTAAAATTTTTGTCACAATTGAAGTTTTTAAGCATAGAGTTTTGGAACTTAACATGACTTCATCCTGGATCGGATTTTTTTACAGATCAGGAAGAAAGTATATGTTTTATGAATTATCTAGGGTCAAAAACCAGAACCAGAACTAGAACCCAGGTTGTATTCCCATCGTGTTACATTGATTCATAATAGGTATGGTGAAACCTAATAAATTTAAGTAAGTTGTAAAATAATTTTAAGTTTTATACCATTTGAAAAAATTATCTAATAGTAATGTGTAGAAATAGGTAAACAAATAAGTTAATTCTCACATAAATTTAAAATTCAGTTAAGGCTCATTGTTATAAGAAATTACCCGTGCTTTTATTTCTGGCTCCTCCATGTGTTCTTCAGTCCAGCTACACTGGCCTTCTTGCTGTTCCTTAGACAGGATATTCCAACCCCTATTTCCGTGGCTTTACACTGGTTATCCCCTTTCCCTGGGACGATCTTCCTCCTCACCTTGGCCTCTTATAGTTTTCCTGGCCTCCTTCAAGGTTGGCTGAAATCATACCTTCTACAGGGGGCCTTTCCCAGTCCTCCCGATTGCTAATGCCTTCTCCTCTGAGATTACCTTTCATCCACTCTGTATCATATATGTATCTAGTAATTTACATATTGTGTCCTCCATTAGAATGTGAGAAAAGGAATTGTTTTTTGCTTTAAAAAAAATTCCCAGTGTTTAGTACAGTGCTTACACATAATTAAGCACTTAATAGATTTTTGTTGACTGCCTTAGAAACATTTCTAGAAGTTTCTTTACCATATGCTTATTCTTCCTTTCTAATTATAGTCATATTTTTATTTGACTCATCATATTAGCTAGAAGGAGACACTAGCTAATGACATTTTTGGAAATAAATATTTTAATACAGAAAAGGAGAGGGGAGAGAAGAGAACAAGCATTTCTACAGTGCCTACTATGTGTCAGGCACTGTGCTAAGCACTTTACAAATATCCTTATGACATACCTGCAAGGTAGGTACTGTGATTGTACCTATTATACAGTTGAGGAAACAGACAAACAGAATTTAAGTGACTTATCCAGGGTCACACAGATAGTATGTATTTAAGGCTGAATTCGAACTCAGGTCTACTGGTCTGTACTACCTAATTGCCTCAAAATCAGGAGCCCAGTTATAACGCTGCTACAATAGTCCAGGCCAGAAATTTAGAAAGAACCTGCAACTTAGGCATGGGAACTCTTTTCACCAATGTAGATACAGCCTATGATTTAATAGATATGTTTCAGAAAAATGGCTGAGGCAAATACAAGTTAAGTAATTTGTCAAGGGTCACACATGTATTAAGTGTCAGAGGCGAAAGACTCCTATTCTTCAAGTGCAGCATTTTCTCCATTATACAAGGCTGTCTGTCTCCTGGAAGTAAATTATTTCTCTGCCACAAATTACAAAACTTTAGAGAAATTATTACTAAGCTAGCATCAGTTTCATTATATAAACGTACCCAGTGAATGGCCACCCAACTTAAAGTGGGAGAACCCACTGAGATACCCCTTTGGGATAGTTTTTTGTTGTTTTGTTGCTGTTGTTGTTGTTTTGTTTTACCAATGATTTCCTTGATGTAAGGAAACTCCACTTATCAGTGTAATCTTACAGAATTACCTGAGGTACTGAAGTACCTGAGAAGTTAAGTAGCTTTCCAAATGTCACATAGCTTTTCCTCACATCAAGCCTAAATTACATTCTTTGCCACTTTAATCCAGTGTTTTTACTTCTGATGTCTACACTCAAGCAAAATAAGCTCAGTTCCATTTCTAAATGGTAGCATGACAGCCTTCAGAATACTCAAATATACCTTACAGGTTTACCTCTTCTACCCCATCTCCCACCAAACATCTCTTCATCGAGCTAAACATGCCTATTTATTTTAACGATACTTATAGGTGAAGGTATCAGGGCTTTTTACTATTCTGATTTTTCTCTACTAAATCCTTTCTAGCTTTTCAGTGTTCTTCCTCAAATGTGATATTCATAATTAACTCAAATGTAGTCTGACCAGGGAAGAGTATAGCAGGATTTGTATTTCCATAGTCCTGGATACCATATCTCACACTGCAACCTAAGGATTCTTTTTTTTTGGGGGGGGGTTCTAAATTTCATTGTTAACTTACAAGAAACTGACAATTCATTACAACCCCCTCCCAGGTCCTTTTTTCATATGAATTGCTCTCTAGCTATGTCTCAGTCTCCCTCATTTTAGACTTGTGAATTTGAACACTGTAATGATCTATTCCATAATGAGGATAGTTGGAGAAAGTGAGGTTTCCATATTAGCAGCTTTCTGCTGAAATCAGAAACCATAAGCTAAGCAAAACTACTAGGTAGAAGAAAACTTCACATAAAGTCTAAGCAATTGATAGTGAGTAAAGCAAAGTAAGGGTATATTGTACCTCAAAAAATAAATCTCACCCAACATCATCTTTGGTTTAGCATTTTTTAAAAAGTGGAGTTCATGATATTTATTTAGCAGCCACTCTTTAAAAAAAAAAACTGATTATCCACATATCTTGTAGGTTGAAAATTTACATCCTACCCTTTTGGGGCTTTGAATAACAACACGACTAAATATAGATCAAAACTTGAATAGAAGAAAGCTGAAAATAGATAAGCTGATTCTGTGATAAATTGCAAAAGAAGGGATTTTGGGGGTGATTGAGAATACATCATTGCTTTAGTAAGGAAGATTGAATGAAGGTGAATATTTAAAGTATGAAAGGAAGACAGTTAGGCCACAAGGTAGGTAACCAATTCTAGAGAATGAGAATAGCCTTGCCTCACTGAAATGGAGATCATAAGCTAAGAAAATACTATTTGAATTGGATCTATCTATATTCCCTCCTATCTGTCCATCTATACTCTTCGCTGAGTGAGGATGTGGGGGGAGAGAGTCTACTATGTGTTTTTCTTTGCCTAGTTGCTCAAATGATTTTGGGATTTTCTTTATGGGGATTTCCTCAAAAGAAGGTAAAATGATAAAGCTGCAGAAAAATTAAAAGACATTCACAGAAAGTTGCCTTCTAAGCATCCTATCTACTTTTTAAAAGTTCACGCCAGGACCTGAGGAGTTCTAATCCCTAATATTGATTCTATAGGTATTCTCTAATAAAGCGAGAGGGTAGTTTTTACTTTCTTAATTGTTTCTAATTCTATGCCTACATGGAACATATGCCCTATTCCAATAAAAAACACTAGTCAAATTCTCCACAAGCTTGTACAATCACTTCATTTCTCCTGAGATGAATTTCTTTGCCAAGTGTAAAAGAGAAACACTTTTGTGGTCATTTTAGTTGTACGTTTTTCCCAAATGACCTACCAAATGTTTTTATATTCTTTTCTCTTCCAACCACCATTTTTGGGCATCAGTTATTCTTTCCAGTTTGGGAAGTTAAGTATGTTAAATGTTGTCTTTGCTTGAAATTTATATTCAGATAGAGTAAAACTACTCACATGTTAGTCAGTCAGTCAATGAACATTTATTAAACACCTACTCTGTACTTGGCACTGTACTAAATGCTGAGGATACAAAGGGAAAGTCCTTGACCTGAAGGAGCTCACAATCTAATGAAGCATTACATAAATATACCATACATATATTAACATATTATATCTACCTTGGACAGATATATAACTTGGACTAATTGTAAGTGTTATATAACATACCTATAACTTGAGTTTACAATTCATCTACTTAATATATAATTTTCATTGTTTTCTTATGGCTCAGTCTTTGAATAGACCTAAAACAGACCCTTTTTTCATCCTCTAGGCAAAGAATCATGCTAAACAAGGAATAAAAGAAGTAAAGAGTAAACTAAAACACAGGGTATGTCATAGAGTTTGACTTTCTTCCAGCCTTGCACTTGCATTAGTTTGAAGCTTATACTTTTGCATTATATTATACATATACATTATACATTAGTTTGAAGCTTATACAAATCACATGAGATTTGTATTTTTAATGACTTTTGAAATATGCTTAGTCCTTTGTTCAATAATACATTTTTCATAACAAGCCCTCTGGCAACTATCTGTCATTCTATATGCAGTCACTGAATAATCTCTTTATTGTTTGCATGTTTTATCATTGAACAACAGAGATCTTCAAAGTTACTTTAAGGCATGTATGTTTTCATAAAGTTGATTGCCTTGATATCATAATGAAGTTTTTGATTCAAGCTGAGAGTTTAAAAGGTGAGGGTCTTTAGCTTAGAATTAACTCAGATATTTTTGCTTTATGTTGCCTTTATAGCTGGACACTGTTTTCAACTTTCCAAAGGCAGAATTAATTTTAATATATATTCTGAAAAGTTTCTCAGATTACTGTATTCTCTTGAATTTCACTCTGTTTGGAAGGGGAAACACTGTTAATAATGTTTAATATTTTTCTCTGTGATAAGAGATAAAGGTAAACAAATTATGTTTAAAATACAATTTACTTAAATTATTAAATATTTACAAGACTCATTTTGAAAAGTATTAGCTTCATGTAAAAATGAATTTCATTTTTCTACTGGAAAAACCCTATACTTTTCTTTAGCCAGTTGTATAGTATTTATATTTATTGTAGGTCCTATGTTTTCTACCCCCCCTCCTTTTTTTAGGTGAATATGTTAAATAAGTGGTAAAAGTATCTCTTTTTGTAGGAGAATGAAGAAGACTATGGATCTTGCTCTGGTTCTGTACAGTATACACCAGTTTACAAATTACACAGTGAAAAAGGTGGGAAGCTAGAGAAGCATAAACTAGTGCAGGTAAGGCTCAGAATATTTACTTAAAATAAAAAGTAACCAATTTGTCTTCATTTTTATATTATTTTCAAATTATTTATTGTTCTGTTTTTGACCAGGTAACAAATGTTTCACTTTTATATAGTGCTTCTTATGGTAAAGAAAGTGCCAGATTATATAGCATTCTATTTTCTTTATGTGTGCCTTTGTATAGGCCCACCTCTGCCTATAATTTGCTCCATCCTTACTTTTGCTTCTTATAATATGTGGCTTCCTTTAAAACTCATATAAAGCACAACTCCTATATGAGCACTTGCTGATATCCCTACTTGCTAATGCTCTCCCATTACCTTGTATATATGTTTTGTTTTTACATGGGTACATATGTTTCTCCAATTAGCAGGTAAATTTCTTGAGGGCTGAGGTTGTTTTGTATTTGTCTTTCTATCCCTACTGCCAGGCTTAGTACCCGGCACATAGTAGACATTTGATAAATGCATTTCGATTGATTGATTATACATGCTATGTTCAAAAATAAGTGTATGTGCATACACACATTTATGGAGAAAATTTTGAGAATAGGGAATATATTCTATAAAAAGACAAAATAGAAACTGTGCACTGAATCATGACCATAATGTAATCTAATAAGGATAGAAAGGGATTTTAAAATCCCTTTCCCCCCAACTTCAGTGGGTCTTAAGTTATTAGAAGTAGAGAGAATAGATTTCCTTTCAGGATGGCCTAGTCCAGAAGGCTCAAACACATAGTCTGTGATACTTCCAAGTGCCCCAAACTAGATTAAAATGTAATTGGAACATATTTAACAAAATAAATAAAAACACAGTAAAACATAGGTAATGCTCCACTTTAAAACCTAAGTATGTGACCTTCAGGAATCCTTGTGTACAGTGTAGTGGCTCCTAATTCTATTTGAATTTGATGCCACTGATACAATCTATAATATGGGTCATGGAATCCAAGACATTAGAAGAAAACTCATGCATGTTAGTAACATTATATTTCACCACCAGTTTGTTGTCTTTTAGTTCATAAGAAATAAGATAATAGTAATTAATTTTATATTTAGGATTTTAATTCAGGTGTCCCTCACTTTCCAAAATAGGTAGTATTTAGAGCTGTAAGGGACCTTAAATATTATCTAAACCAGGCTCCTTATTTTATCTGTGAGGAACCTGAGAAGATGATATTTTCTTAAGCCACACAGAAAATAAAAAACAGAGCCTTGGATTTAAATCAAGTTCTTTGGGCTCTGAATCTGGTGTTCTTTTTATACATCCTACTTCTCTTCTCTTTGAGTCATTTTTTTTTTGGAAATGTACTAGAACAAAGTATCTTTTAAAGTATCTTAGATTTAATCCATAAAATTGTATAATTTTAGAATTGTATCTTGATTGGTCATTTATTCCAAAATTCTCATTTTGCACATGAGGAAATGAGACTCAGAATATAAATGACTTGGTAAAAACCACACAGCTATCTAGTTAAGAGTAGAACCAGAACCAGAGCTCAGGTCTTCTAATGTTAAATCCAGTGTGCTTTCCTAAAAACATCAGCCCCCGGGAGAATAGGGGAAAAGGGAAACCTTGCTAGGCAGTATTTATAAAGACCTGTCTAGAGTCATACTCCCTAGATCCTGTGCTCATTGCTGCCAAATCCCTTAGGTATCTTTTCATACATTGTGTTGTCCCTTTCCCTCATGTAGATAAGTGAGAGCAGACTAGGCCAGTCTGGTGGCTCAGGTCTGAGAATGGAATAAAATGAGACATTTATAGGTTATTTATAGGTTATTCAATAACAAAAGGAAGTTTGCTTAGCCATAGCTGGAGTAGGACATTTCATATTACCTTACTAAGATCTCCATTATATTATGAGCTTCTTCAGGGCAAGACTATCTTTTTTCATATTTGTATCACCAGCACTTAGTACAGTGCCTGGCATATAGTAAGTGTTTAATAAATGTTTATTGACTAGAGCATGGAAAGGATAGAGCCTTGATTCACCTGAATGTAGCTCTCCTGTCATAGTTTTAGTTATTTTGGTAATCTTCAGTCAGAAGAATGAGGAAGAAGGTCCAGCCCTCCTGTCTTGGTTGTTTTTGTACTGAAGCAGCCAGAAAACTACAAGTCCAGATCCTTTGTCCCCTGAACCAATTGAATCTTAAAGACAGTTTCAATACCTTTTAAGGAAAAACTACCCTAATCTGCATGGGCTTTGGAATGTTGTTTCCACCACTCCTCCCCCAAGTACCCTGGGCCACCCTAATCTTCAGACTGCTCTGAGGGGAAAGAATATTTAAGAAAGGTAAGGTGGATATAAGATACTTAGGGCACAATGTAAGGTCAGGTAGGTGGCACAGTGGATAGAGTATCGGGAATAAAGTCAGGAAGATTCATCTTTGTGAGTTCAAATCTGGCCTCAGACCCTTACTAGTTGTGTGACACTTAACCCTGTTTGTCTCAGTTTCCTCATCTGTGCCAGGCACTGTGCTAAATGCTTTATCATTATTATCTCATTTGATCCTCACAACAACCCTGGCAAGTAGGAGCTGTTATTATCTCCACTTTATAGATGAGGAAACTGAGCCAGGCAGCGACAAAATGACTTCCCCAGCTAGTAAGCATCTGAGGCTGGATTTGAGCTGAGGTCTTCCTGATTCCAGGCCCAATGCTCTGTACATTGTATCGTTTGTTCTCTGATTTATCTGTTCTATGAATCTAGATTTTATGTGCATTGGATTTGATTAAAGTAAGGTAGACCTGTAGTGGATGGATCTATGTGATATACCAAGTCCTTCAAATAAATAAGTTATTGAGTACACAAATATGAACTTCCTCAAGGACAGGAACCATTTCAGTTTTGCTTTTGTATTGGCAGTGCGTACCAAACTGCCTGGCACACAGTATGTGCTTATTAAATCCTTGTTAAATTGTTGGTCACACTCCTAGATCTCTCCCACAGTCTTTCTGTATGTAAGGTCCATCTTGTCTCCATTAAGGTGCTCCCATTCTTAAAATCTAATCTAGCCAATAGCTCAGTAATGTTCAGATTCTTTAACTGTCTGGCCAATGTGGTGGATGTTCTAATAAAAATAAAAAATGAACTGTTGTTGAATAGTATTTACTAACTGATAACTTAGGAATATGATTTTAATTCATTTCTGTGGTTGATCATGTCACTATCAGAATATCATATCTACTTTTAGGGCCTTGGATACTCTAACTTTCTATAATAAGTGTCTTGTTTTAATTTATGGTATCTGTGTATATTAATTTTCAAATGCCATTTGGATTGTATTCATTCTCTGCAATATGATTAACAAGTTTTCAGTTATTTCTTTTAACAAGGCCACTTAAATGTGGAAAAGAAATGTTCTTTGTAATCCCCAAAGGAGTCTAAAATGAAAAGTAAGAATTAAATGCAGAGAAATGTGTTAGAAATGGCAAAGAAGTAAAAAAAATATACTGCTGTGTCACTAAAATATCATATACTTATTATCTTCTTATCTCACATTTTTATAACAGTGTAAATGTAAAAGCAGATTACTGATTTATGTCTTCTAGTAAGCCCTGCTTTTAAAAAGTGCTATGATGAAGAAAACAAAATGAGGTTACATAACACACTGCAAATTATTTTCTTATATCTAGTCTGAATCTATTTGATGGTTTTCTATTACATGTTATCAAGATATAGCTCAAATTGCATCTATGACTAATAAATAAATTAAAAAGTAACATCCTATTTAAGATTCCACTCTTAGAAAGCTCTGATTATTAAGATATTTTTTCTGACATGAATCCTAAATTTTCCCCTTTACAACTTCCACCCAGTTTTCCTAGCTCTGACCCCAGATTCCCAAAATAAGTCTAATCCTTCTAGTACATGACAGCTTTTCAACGATTTGTGTAATTCTCGTGATCCCTGAGTCTCTTCAACAAGCCAAAGAACCCTACTTCCATAAGGTATGGACTTGAGGTCCATCAAGTTGCCAGGACAGCTACATTTTAAGAGTGCGAGCCCTCTCGCCCCTATTTCCTTAAAGTTCACATGAAGACCTAGACTTCAGTCACATGAGTTACCAGAGATAAATTATATCTACTAAATACCTGGGTAATCTTGAAAGCAGCAATGAAATTGAAGACACATTCTGAGGAACATGGCTCTGATTATAGATGGTGAATTAACTGTCACAAAGTAGATTGAGAGGAAGATTATGATAGCATTAGGAAAAGAACAATATCTTTTCCTCCTTCCCTCAGGAGGCCTCTGTTGTTCCCAAACCTTAGCTGACTTAAATTGTTAGATATTGAGTTTACTAAAAATACTAAATATTGAGCAGGCCAGTGGCAGATTCTAGGCTAAGTATGTCAGGACTATTTATGCATTACTTTAATGTCTGACTATTGAAAGATGAGAGCTTAGCATTCTTTATTTTGTCTATCCTATGAAATTAAAAGTTGGTCTATTTCCCTTTCTTTCTTTTTTAATGAGGCAATCTGGGTTAAGCGACTTGCCCAGGGTTGCACAGCTAGTGAGTGTCAAGTGTCTTGAGGCCACACTTGAACTCAGGTCCTTCTGACTCCAAGGCCAGAGCTCTATACACTGCACCACCAAAAATGTGTTTTTTTAGAACAAGTATATTCTTTAGTATTATAAATTTGAGACTCTGGTCTCATTTTCCTTATATGAATATGACTGAATTAAGAGAATAGTATTACCTTGTAATAAATGGTGAATGGATGAATACACCAATCTCACTACAATGTTATCCTTAAGTTCCATGTTGTAGATGCCACCATTAGGAACTTTTGGTAACTAAACTTGCTAAAGAAAATCAGGAGTGGGGAAGGCCACATGTGTCCCTCTAGGTCCTCAGATATTCTGTGAAGTTGGATTCAGTCAGAAGGCTGCACTTGAAGACCTAGAGGGCAACATATGGTCTCGAGGCCACAGGTTCCCCACCCCTGGTCTAAATCCTAAGTCTGAGAGCAGGATGGGACCTT